CCCAGGCGGAAGAAGGAGCCAAGAGTGGGCGGGTCTGTTTGTGAAGCCAGGGTGGCTGCGAGACCCTCTCCCCTTGGGAACCTGCCCCTGAGATCCCCCCCTCCCTTGGGTGGGGCGAGGGCTCCTTCAGGGCGTGTGGTGATCATTGAGGAGCCTGGAGTGCAGAGAGCATGGACTGGAAAAGATCCTGTCCCAAAACACTGTGGGAAGGGGTTTAGCGAGACCCCTGCTCCCAGGCACCATGGGAAGGGGCTCGAGGAGACTCTGAGTCTGAAGGCGCCCAGGGAGGTAACCTCAGAGCATGAGCGCAGGCAGGGGTTTAGAGAGAAGCCCCTCTGTGCCCCAGGAACACTACCAAGAGGAACCCCTGGGACAGCAGGAAGGCTTTCCGAGATGTGAAGGGCAGGGCCTCTGCCCCAGGGAAGACCTCGGAGGTCACCACTCCGCCGTGGTGGCCTCCAGTCCTTGGGGCTGTGCCCCATTCAGGGTCTTTCTTCCCCCCACCTTTGGCCTCAGAGTCAGGGAGGAGCCCCGGATGGATGGGTTGCTGGGCCAGAAAAGGCAGCTGGTGCCTCCGGGGTGTCGCTTGGCTCCCTCTCTCAGGAGCCTTCTCCAACCCCCCAGCCTCCTCCTAAAAGGTTTGGGTGCAGATGCTGCTCTGTTTCTTCCCAGCCCACCTCTCTGCCCCGACCCCCCATGCACCCCTCCCTCTCTGAGCACACATCCCTTTCCCTAACCCACCCCCCTCCCTGAACCAAGTCCCTCTGGGCACTGAGAGGCACAGCTGGCCAGGTGGGGGGGGCTTCGGTTTGATGAGTGAATGCCAGGGTCAGCTGGTCACAGCTGCTCATGCACCTCCCCAACCCTCAGTCCTCCTGACCGACAAGGAGGGGAGACAGCTGTCGCCCGACGAGGCACTGGATGAGGCCGTGCCTGAGTACCGGGCCCCGGGGAGGAAGAGCCTCCAGGAGATCCAGCAGCTGGACCCTGATGACGAGAGCCTGGTCAAGTACAAGCGGGCACTGCTGGGGCCCCTGCCACCTCTCGTGGGTATGTAGGGCTCTGGGCCCGGAGGGGAGGGGCCGGGCGGCTGGGGCGGGGTGGGGGTGGTGGGGGGGGAGCCGTCCTGGTGACTTCCGGTTTCTCCTCAGACCCGAGCCTGCCTAATGTGCAGGTGACCAGGCTGACGTTGATGTCTGAGCAGGCTCCAGGGCCCATCACCATGGACCTCACAGGTACTGCCCCCCCCCCTTGCCCGCCGTGGGGCTCCTGGGGCAGGGTCTCCACCGTCACACTTAGCTGCACTGTCCCTCGCAGGGGAGCTGGCCGCGCTGAAAAACCAGGTGTTTGTCCTGAAGGAGGGTGTGGATTACAAAGTGAAGATTACCTTTAAGGTGAGGGCAGCTGTCGCGGGGGACACCTGCCAACACAGGGCCAGCCCCCCCAGAGGGGCCCTTAACACCCTCTGTCCCCCAGGTCAATAAGGAGATCGTCAGTGGCCTCAAGTGTCTGCATCACACCTACCGCCAGGGCCTGCGTGGTGAGGGCAGCGAGGAGGGCTGGCCTGGGGGGCTGTGGGTGGGGGGCGGCTGCGGCAGAGGGTGGCCCCTGACAACCTCCCCCCCCCCCCCCAGTGGACAAGGCGGTGTACATGGTGGGCAGTTACGGCCCTAGCGCCCAGGAGTATGAGTTTGTGACCCCGGTGGAGGAGGTGCCTCGAGGAGCCTTGGTGCGGGGTGCCTACGTGGTCACGTCCTTCTTCACTGACGATGACAGGACAGACCACATGTCCTGGGAGTGGGGCCTCCACATCTGCCAGGACTGGAAGAGCTGAACGTCCCCTACCCCGGGGGCTGTCCTCAGCCCACCTGGGGTCCTCGTTTTCCCCTGCCCCTGCAGTCAGTGACCACACCCCCACACCCTCTGCTCCGGTCCTGGGACACCCCCTTCCTGGGCTGGCACTGTGCCCTGAACAGTCCTATTAAACGTCACCTTGTCTCGGTGCCCTTGGTGTTGCCTCTGTCTGCCTCCCCTCCCCCGGGGGTGGGGGGAGCCTCGTGGCCTTATCTTCCTGGGACTAGGACTGGGTGCCACGTGGCAGCTGCTGCTTGGCCCCCGGCCCCCTTATCTGCCCCCCGCCTCGTGGGCCCAGCACTGCCATGGACGGCCAGCTCCTGCTTGTGCTGCTGCTGCTGCTGCTGCTTGGGGCCTCGGGCCCAGAGGGCCAGGGGCCAGGGCCCGGGGAGCCCGAGGAGGAGCCCCCCAAGGAGGAAATCCCTGAGGAGGATGGGATCTTGGTGCTGAGCCGGCGCAACCTCGGCCTGGCCTTGCGGGAGCACCGCACTCTGCTGGTGCAGTTCTGTGAGTGCACCGGGCCAGAGGGCTGGAGGACCCACAGGGGCCCCCCGGGGCGGGGGGGGGGCGTTCAACTCCCCACCCTGTGTAGCCGGGGCTTGTGCACATGAGGGACTTCCCCTGTGGGCACTTGGCCCTCCACTGTGCTCCTGGGGCTCCATGGAAGGGCACCGGAAGCAAAGCCCTGGGACGGAGCTGGGCCTGGGGGCGTCCAGCCTGAGCAGGGGAGGGTGGGGCTGGGGAGGGAGGCGCAGGTGCAGGGAAGACCGTAGATCACCATCCATCTGCACCTCTTTCTGTGAGGGGCCACATTAGCATTCAGGCCTTGCATATTCTGCTATGGATTAGAAAAAGAATAGGGGCGCCTGGGGGGGGGGCTCAGTGGGTTAGGCGTCTGACTTTGGCTCAGGTCATGATCTCACAGTTTGTGAGTTCGAACCCTGCGTGGGGCTCTGTGCTGACAGCTCGGAGCCTGCTTCGGATTCTGTGTCTCCCCCTGTGCCCCTCCCCAACTTGGGAGTGCGCGCGCTCTCTCTCTCTCTCTCTCTCTCTCTCTCTCTCTAAATAAACATTAAATAAATAAACATTAAAGAAGACATGTTTTTAATGTTTATTTATGTTGAGAGAGCAGGCACATGAGCAGGAGAGGAGAAGAGAGAGAGGGAGAGAGAGAATCCCAAGCAGGCTTTGCACTGTTATCTCAGAGCCCGATGTGGGGCTCGACGCCATGAATCGTGAGATCATGACCCCAGCCAAATTCAAGAGTCAGACAAACAGTCAACCACCTGAGCCCCCCAGGCGCCCCCTCTCCGGTGGATTCTTGCAAAACTTTACACACGTGAAAGCCATTCCTAGATGGCAGGCTTCCGCAAGCAGGCACAGGTGGCCAGGGAGCAGCAGCTGGAGGGTTCTTCTCAAACTCACTGTCGGGGCGGTGCTGGCCGCTGCACGCCCCCCCCACCCCCACCGCCCGCCGCCCCCCCCCGGTGTGGGACCTTGAGTCTGGCTCTGCTGCAGAGGGTCAGATGGGCCCCCAAAGGATTCGGGAAGCGTGGATAGGAGTGCTCTCTGCCAGACCTGACTGATCCCAAGGTTCTGGCCGGGAGGGAGCAGGAGCCCAGGCTGGGGCTGTGGAGGCCGGTCGGGGACACTCATGGCCCTGTCCCCCAGATGCCCCATGGTGTGGGCACTGCAAGGCACTGGCCCCCGAATACAGCAAGGCCGCAGCCCTGCTGGCGGCAGAGTCAGCCAAAGCCAGGCTGGCCAAGGTGGACGGGCCTGCAGAGACAGAGCTGACGGAGGAGTTTGCTGTGACCGCATACCCCACGCTCAAGTTCTTCCGCGATGGGAACCGCACACACCCGGAGGAGTACACCGGTAGGGGGAGCGGGCACGAGGGGGGCGGGGGCGGGGGCAGGGGCGGGGGGCTGGGCCCGGGCTGAGGGGACTCTTTGCAGGCCCCAGAGAGGCTGAGGGCATCGCTGAATGGCTGAGGCGGCGGGCGGGGCCCAGTGCCACCCGGCTGGAGGACGAGGACGGTGCCCGGGCACTGATCGACGGCCGGGATGTCGTGGTCATTGGCTTCTTCCAGGTGAGCTGGTGGTACTGGGGTCCAGGCCATGGGAGCAGGGCCCGCGGTGCCAGCTGACCTCACAGGCTTGGGGCTCCTTAGGACCTGCAGGACGAGGACGTGGCTACCTTCCTGGCCCTGGCCCAGGATGCCCTGGACATGACCTTTGGCCTCACTGACCAGCCAAAGCTCTTTCAGAAGTTTGGCCTCACCAAGGACACCGTGGTGCTCTTCAAGAAGGTGGGTCAGGGCCAAGGGGGGGGTCGGGGCTCAGGGCCCTGGCTCCTGCTGACCCCCGCTGAGTTGTCCAGTTTGACGAGGGCCGGGCAGACTTCCCAGTGGACGAAGAGCTGGGCCTGGATCAGGGCGACCTGTCGCACTTCCTCCTCACGCACAGCATGCGTCTGGTCACAGAATTCAACAGCCGGGTGAGTTGGACTGTGGGTGCATTTGCAGGGGTGGGGGCGTGTCCAGGGGAGCCAGCCCCCGCGAGTGCGGTTTGCCCTTGCAGACGTCGCCGAAGATCTTTTCGGCCAGGATCCTCAACCACCTGCTGCTGTTTGTCAACCAGACACTGGCCTCCCACCGGGAGCTGCTGGCTGGCTTCGGGGAGGCAGCTCCCCCATTCCGGGGGCAGGTACCGGCTGGGACGGGGGGAGGTGGGGTGGTGGGGATGTGGGCTGACCGGCACCGACTGCCTGCCGGCAGGTGCTGTTCGTGGTCGTGGACGTCGGTGCCGACAATGGCCACGTGCTGCAGTACTTCGGCCTCAAGGCTGAGGAGGCCCCCACCCTGCGCTTCATCAACATGGAGACCACCAAGAAGTACGCACCTGCACACGGGGGGCCGCTCACCGCAACCTCCGTCACCGCCTTCTGCCACGCGGTCCTCGGCGGCGAGGTCAAGGTCTGCTGCTGAACTGCCCACCCGGGAAAGGGGGGGGGGGCGGGAGGGGAGCAGCAGTGCCCAGGAGAGCCCCCCAGTGAAGCACCCGGCCTGGTTTCCCCCAGCCCTACCTCCTGAGCCAGGAGCTGCCCCCTGACTGGGATCAGCGGCCGGTCAAGACCCTCGTGGGCAAGAATTTTGAGCAGGTGGCTTTCGACGAAACCAAGAATGTGTTCATCAAGTTTTGTGAGTGCAGCGGGCCACGGGTGGTGGGCAGCGGGCAGGTGGGGGCCTCTGCCGGCTGTGCCAACGCCCCGCTGTCCTAGACGCCCCTTGGTGCACCCACTGCAAGGAGATGGCCGCGGCCTGGGAGGCCCTGGCCGAGAAATACAAGGACCACGAGGACATCATCATTGCGGAACTGGACGCCACAGCCAACGAGCTGGAGGCTTTCCCTGTGCACGGCTTCCCTACCCTCAAGTTCTTCCCCGCGGGGCCGGGTCGCAAGGTGAGGTAGGGCAAGAGACCCCGTCTTCCTCGGTCTGCGGCTTGGTCCGCACCTTCCTCGGGCCTCGGCCATGGCCAAGAGATAGGGCAGGGCCTCCAGCGGCAGGGCCTGGGAGGATGTGGCCAGGGTGCAGGGCTGGGGGAGGCGTGTTCTCCAGCGCCTCGTGTCCCTCCTTAGGTGATTGAATACAAACGCACCAGGGACCTGGAGACCTTCTCCAAGTTCCTGGACAACGGGGGCGAGCTGCCCGCAGAGGAGCCCACAGAGGAGCCCGCAGCCCCCTTCCCGGTGGGTGCCTCTTTCCCAAGGTTCCCAGTCTCTGGACGTGGCAGTGAGGGTGCCAGGGGCTGGGGTGAGTCAAGGGCACAGCTTCTAGCCGGGGCTCTGTGACCCTTTCCAGGAGACCCCAGCCAATTCCACCACGGAGCCCAAAGAGGAGCTGTAGTCGCCCCCCCCAACATCACCGTCTGGTGCCCCCACACCAGATGGTTCACCGAGGAGCCAGTGAATAAAGAGCTTTTGATCCTGCACGGTGTGTGTGGTTCCTGAGCACGGCCGGCCCCCCGGCCCCCCAAGAACCTCCTGGGCCCGTTCCGTCTTGAATGTGTCCTAGCCCTTGCCCCCAGTCTTTCTGGGTGGGTCTCTGACCCAGATCAGGGTCTGGGAACCCACCCTCTCCAGAGCTGTCAGTGTACCTCCACCGGACACCCCCCACACACAGGGGACCCTCAGAGGCCTGAAGTGCCGTGGTGGACAATGGCAAGCAGGCCACCAGGCTCCACCCACAGAAAACAGGTGTCTCCATCGCCGGAGAAGGTTCAAAAATGATTTTATTCCATTATTATCCAAGTACCTTTGAAAAGATAATTGTACAAGTCAGCGCATGAAAAATGGGCTGGGGCAGCCCCTCCACCCCGCTGGCCCTGGCCTGAGAAATGTACATATTTACACGGGCCCTTAAAGGGGAGGTGGGGGGGGCCCGGGACCCGCTGAGCCCGCGCTCTGGAAACGGAGGGTGGAGGAGGGAGAGCGCTCCGGGCTCCGGCGCCGGATCCACACAGTGGCAGGCAAGAGACAAGCTGTGTTGAAGGCACTCGGTGACATGTACAATTTACAGAGGCCCCCGCGGGGCCCCTGGCCCCCCAGGCCCGGGCCAGGCCCGAGCGGGGCAGGGCGCGGCGGACGAGTCCCAGGGGGAGGGGCAGAGCCTGCAGTGTGAGCGCGGGGCGAGGAGCGGGCGGGCCTGCCCGCGGTCAGCAGCAGGGCGACACGGAGGGCGGTCGAGGTGGCTCCGGGGCGGGCTACCCGCCCAGGCGGACCGACTGTTGCTGAGGAGTGGACCGCGCACCCTCCTCGTCAGCTGCAGGACGGAGGCCTGTGGGACCCGCAGAGGGACCCCTGCCCGTCCGGACACAGATGGCCCGAAGAGCCGGTGGCCTTCTGCCAGTAGTTGTGTTGTCTGCATACACACCAAGCAGGTGACCCACAGGACCCTCGGAGGCCGCCCTGGCCCCTGCCTGACGAGGGCCCAACCTGGCGCGGAGGCCCGGCTGGCGGGTCAGTCCACCTTCTCCACCTTGCCGATGATCTTCTCCTCGAAGACCGGCAGGACGGTCTCATCTTCCCGAACCTCCTCAAACACGACGCCGCAGTCAAACTCGTCGCTCACCTTCTTGAAGTAGTATCTGGAGGACGCGGGCCAGAAGCGGCGAGAGGAGGTGAGGGCCTCGTCCCCTCCTCTGCTGGCCCAGCGGCCTCATCTCCCCTCCCGTGCACACAGACGCCGCAGGGCCCCGGCCACCAACACGTGTGCTGCCCACCGCAGGGCCTCCCGCGCTGCCCGGCCCTCACCTGTAGTTGCCCTTCCTGGTCAGCAGCTCCTTGAACTGGCCCAGAGTGACGGCTCGGCCCCGCACCAGGGTCCGGTACGGGATGGGCTCCCCGCAGAAGTAATAGGCCACCACGATGCTGTCACACGGCTGGGCGCTCCCACTGCCCGCCTTCCTCTGCGACTTCGACCTGGGGGCAGAGGCGCAGCGGTGACCGCTGGGCTCGGGGTCACACAGGACACACCCCAAAGGGCTCCGGGCCCCCCACAAACAGGGGATAAGGACTAGAGAGGATGAGCCGGCCTGGCCGTGTGCAAACACCACGAGTGCGAAAGCCCGGATACCCCTCACCCGCAGCGCCCTGTGGCCTCGCTCCGTGTGGGGCCTCAACCAGAGGCTCCAGTCCGGCCACACTCTCCGAAATCTACAGCATGGATGCCAGCTCATCTCCCCTCGTGCCCGTGGCCTCCAGCCTCCCTGTGTCCTGAGCTGGCTGGAGCACGTCGCCTCCTACCCAGACCACACAAACGTGGCTTCTCGGGGCCAGAACCCATGGTGGATCCCATCGCGAGGCGTGGGAAAAAACGCCTAGGTTACTGGAAAAAACGCAGCCCCCCACCTCTAGGCTGGGCTACGCTACCTGTACCTTAGGAGAGGCCTGAAGCCCTAAAGCTTCAGAAACTCTGAACGCCAGAGGCTGGGCGAATGGCACCGTGCATGGGTCTGGAAATGAACCTGCCCGCCCCCCTACCTCCACCGCAGACAGCTGGTCTGAAGAGCAGAGGCAGTGGCCGGCCAGATTTGCAGGGAGGGCCGTGAGGCCAGCACGGTCTCCTGCCCGCGACCACTCCGAAGGGCCACCTGTCCTGATGGGTGACGAGACCGCACAGGCGGCGCGCCCTCCGTCCCGTAGTGGTCCCCGTCCCTGTGACCGCCCCGGAGCTGCCCAGGTGTGCTCGGACACAGCCCCTGGCCCCCACCAGCCGCCCTGCCAGGAGCGGGTTGCAGCGTCATGTCGGGAAGGCCTCCTGAGCTCACAACGGGACGCCCTGTCTCCCTGGTGCTCCGGGGGATAGAGGGGGCGGTTCCTTGGGCTAGCTGGCCGTCTGCTGCTCAAGCCGGGCTCCTGGGCGCCTGCTTTCCTTCCCTGAGTGCTGCAACCTAACATGGTGGCGGGGGTCCTCTGCAGAAGGGATGCAGGGCCCCTCCCTGCCGGGAGACCACCCTCGAGGAGTGACCTGGTGGGGAAGCTCTGAGTCACTCAGGCATCCGGCTGGACGTGATGAGCCACTGTGTGGGATGAGGCGGGGGACCCCGTTTCTGCTCCGTTCTGAGCAGAGGCACAGGGGTTGGGTGGCCGGCACCGTCTACATGAGGTCCCCAACACCTGCCCTGCACCACGCCTGCCTGGGGAGCGGACGCGCCAAGCACCTGTTCCCACGTTCCACGCAAGAACGGAGCTAGACAGACTCCGTGTGCTCATGGCACCCGGACACACACGCCCGCGGTGCTGGGCCAGGAGAGGCACCACCAGTCGCAGACCACCGAGCCCCAACGGCTGGCCGGGAAGCTCAGGAAAGTAAAGGCGGGTGGGCACACGGGGCCAGAGCGGAGGCAGCAGGTCAGAGCTCCCTCCCTGGCCCGGAGGCCACGTGTCACACAGGACGGCCCACGTCTCCTCTGACAGAGACCGGAAGCTTGAGGCCGGCTCCAGCTCTTCCGGCGCGACGCCCCAGATCCTGGGAACAGCGGCTCCCCCGCGGGAGGCGGGGTAAGCGGTACCGAGACCCTCGGGGGGCGCACGTACTCTGTCTCCGAGAGCTCCAAGTCGGACACGGCTGGCACCACGCTCAGCACAGGTGTGCACGCTGGCCTGACACAGGAGCGCCCCCGCTGGATGACCTCCTGCACATACCTAGGGAACAACCACGGCGGTGAGCTGCGCGTGCTGGGGTTGGGCCTCCGCCAAGGCTCCGCCGTGACAGTGGGGCCACAGACAGGCAGACGGAGCAGGGGCCCCGGGGAGGGTCCGTCACCGCCGAACCAGGCTCCCACCGTGTGGGGCGGACAAAACACCACACCACACCACACGACGGGGGCTTCCAGGGCTCCGTCGGGGCCGGTCAGGAAACACGAGGCTCCAGTTAATCCAGAGTTCCTGGACTCCTCGGCGGATGACACTCCGGGGAACCACCGACCCTTCCTCCACACTGAAAAGAGCCTTCGGGGACGGCCTGGCTCCGGCCTCGTCTGCGTGCTCGTCCTCGTCCGCGCTCTGCTGCTGCTCCATCCCGAGCAGCTTTCCCAACAGCTGTCGGCCCCGGACGCGACGTTGTGCAGCCCTGACGGTGACTTCTCTTCCGCCAGCCGGGGCGGGGTGGGGGTGGGTCACCCCACAAGGAACTCGGACCTCCATCCGTGTCTGCGGTCGCTTACAAAAGGCCCACGTTCTGGACCGGCGACAAATGGAGACGCCGGAGCCGGTGGCCAAAACCCTGTCAGGAGCCTCACGGCCCAAATACGGATTCCCAAGAGGCTTGTGTGGACCAGTTTGGCGTCTCTGGCCGGCACGAGCACACGCAGGGCCTGCCGGGTGCTGCCGAGAAGAGCAGACGTGAGCCCTACACCCCCAGTGCGTGGCAAGGACGACGTTCCCAGGCTCTGTGCAGCAGGGAAGACTTCCTACCCATATGCCCCAGCCCCTTCCCCGCCGGCCCCTCTGCCGCCCTGTCCGCCTCCAGGTCACGGGCCCCGTCAGACGAAGCAGCATCCGCAGCTCCGAGCCGGCTCTCTGGTTCTATGTTGACAGGGTCACAGGGTGTGAGACAGGTGGCCATAAACGTGGACACACTCAATGACCAGGGGACGCAGTCAGGCTCCTGGCTCTGCCCGATAAGACAGGCACCAGGGATGGCCTGCATGCTGACACCAGCCTCCCAGGAGCTGGACGGCCCCCTACACAGTGAGGTCCCCAGGAAACATGTCCAGTGACCATGACTGGGCAAGGGGCGCTGGCAACGTCCAAGAACAGGGCCACCGTGTGACCGTGCTCCGGGGCCTCGGTGGAAAATGCAGATTTCCCGGATCTGTCCGGGAATTCCAACGCGCTGGTACATTCGGGGAAAAGTGACCTCGAGGCCCAGCAGAAAGGGCAGGGGAAGGCACATTCTGGCCTGGAGAGAAGACCGCCATCCACAAAGGGGTTCTCCCTAGGGTGAGCGGCAGGGCGTGGGGAGCCGCATTGGCCTGAGGCTGCGTCAGCAGTGGGCGGGGCCTCTCTGGCCCTCAAGGCCCAGGAGGGCATGGCGCTGGGGACAATGGGGCTGGGGGTCCCTTGCACAGAAGACTGTACCTCTACGCGTACTTCAGCAACGTTCACCATCCCACCTGTGCGTGGCACCATTTATGGCTCCCCGCCCAAGGACCCCCCCCAGGACTCCCACTCTGTAGCCTGCACAGCGGCCAGGGGGATCCTGACAGTAGTGTCTAGAGGCTCCGTGGAGCCCCGGGGCGAGTGCACACTCACAGAGGGGAGACGGCTCCCTCTCTACCCCAGGAGGACCCTCCCAGCCCCTTGTCACACAGCAAGGCCACGTGCCGTGCCCCGGGTAGCGCTCAGTGAAAGAAGAAACCAGGACTGCTGGGGGGTGCCCAGGCCTCGGGGGGCTACAGCCCCCAAGCAGTGCCAAGGCAGCCCTGATTGGGCGTGTGGCCTGCCCTCCCCGCTGCCCCCCTACCTCTGCTTTGAGGGTAACTTGCTGGCTCTCTTCTCTTCCTCCTCCAGGCGCCTGCGGGCCTCCTCCAGCTGGGTCAGAGGGTTGGGGGCTGGGTTGGGCGGCATGGTGGGGTCTTGAACGAAGAGGTGAGAGGGCTGCACGGAGTTGCGAAGCTGAGCGCTGACCCAAGGGTGCACGGCCCCGGGGCGCTCCACGGACAAGGGCCTGGGGCTCTCGTGCACCTGCTGCTTCTTGGCACCGGAAGACCTTTGGGAGCAAAAGAACGAGTGTGGTAGCATCTGGAACCCCGGCCACAGGCGGGACCAGTGGAGGCCACCAGGGGCACACCTGCCACCCCTCCCACCACACCACATGACACCGTGCTCCTCCGCTGCACGCTCTTTTTGTAACTCATTTTTATTATTTTTTTTAAGTTTGTTTTTTTTTTTTTTTAACATTTATTCATCTCAGACAGACAGACAGAGCACAAGCAGGGGAGGGGCAGAGAGAGAGGGAGACACAGAATCCCAAGCAGGCTCCAGGCTCTGAGCTGTCAACACAGAGCCCAACGCGGGGCTTGAACTCACAAACTGTGAGATCATGACCTGAGCCCAAGTTGGACGCTTGACTGACTGAGTCACCCAGGTGCCCCTGTAACTCATTTTTGAAGAACTGTTTAAAGGTTGTTTATTTTCAGAAAGTGTGAGTAGAGGAGGAGCAGAGAGAGAGGGAGACAGAGAATCCGAGGCAGGCCCCAGGCTCTGAGCTGTCCAGCACAGAGCCTGACACGGGGCTTGAACTCTCAGACTGCAAGATCACGACCTGAGCTGAAGTCGGATGCTTAACCGACTGAGTCACCCAGGTGCCCCTTTTGTAACTAATTTTTAACAACTTTACTGAACTCTGTCACACCCTATATAAAAACTTAAAAAAAAAAAAACTTTTCACTGTTTTTAAAAAACATTTTAGGATCAAAATAAATGCTCTTTGTGAGAAAGCTGAACCATATAGGAAATTCCAAAGTAAAAACAATCTAAAAATCTTAATTTAGAAGTACCTACTCTCACTATATTGGTATATTCTCCTTCCCGTTAAAAACAATCAGCGTAACTCTAAACATACAATTTTTCATTTTTTCAAATGTTTCCCCCATGGGATCACACACCTCTCTCTGCCTTCATTACCCAACACAAAACGCTCTAGAGCTGTGCAGTACGCCTTTGCTGCACGGCTGAATTATACCGAAAACATCAGCCTCTCTTAGCCTTGGCTGGAGCCCTTGGAAAGGGGGGCTTTAGCACCAGGAGGGAACCCTGGAAGAGGGCCCCCAGGCTCAGTGCCCTCGCAGTCCCGGAACTGCCCCAGGAAAGATGGCATCTCCCTCCTAAAGAGCCCACGGGGCCAGCCACAGGGAGACCTTGGCTCTGGGGCCCACCCCCAGCCTCTCCTTGCCCCCCACCTCCCCGCCGCACACCCACCTCCCATCGCCTGGCCCCCCCCACGTCCTCCCTCTCTCGCTGCCCCATGCCTCCACCCTCCCCTGCCTACCTGCTGTATGATGTAAGAGCAACAAAGACAGAGGCACACTGTCCCCCAACTCCAGGGAGGCCAGGGAGACCTGGTAGGGATACTGAAATGCCACCATTTAAAATGGCCCATCCTGACATCAAGCACCTTCCAACCTGAGACTGTTTCCAGATGGGCCTTTTATTCTTCCACCACAGAAACCCTCCATCTGGCGTGGGAGGAACGGCCAGAACAGAGCCATTCCTTGTGGAAACCCGAAAAGGAAATCCAGAGAAACCCAACCAAAGCAGGAGAGGAGCTCTGGAAAGACCCTCACTCAGGACAGGTTTTGTGACCGCAAAGGTGTCCGAACACTGGCGGGAGCCTTGTTCCCACAGTCACGTGGAGACCAGACACAGGGACCCACGGGTGGAGAGTCCCACGTCTCTGCTCAGGATGGGCTGGCTGGCAGGTGGTTACCCACTTCTCCCTTTCTCCCCTCCCGCCCCCGGGCCCCCCCCCCCCCCCCCACCGCCGCCACACACGCACACTCTACCGTCCCCAACCATATCCAAAACAGACAGTCAGCGAAGCGGGAGACTGAGGAAGGAGGGGTGGCCAGCCCACCCACGGGCACCAGCCCCACGGCCCAGACAGCTGGTCTGGGGGTGAGGCGTGCAGTCCGGGCCAGCCCCAGTCCCCCATGGTCCCCCCAAAATGGACGGACCCACGCGAGGCGGCAATGGCACGTCTGGGGTCCTGGCTCCACACCCTCCAGAGCAGCCTCCGGCTCTGTGGGGCCAGTACAGAGTTCAGAGGGTGCAGACACCACCGACGGCTGGGGGGTGACCAGGTGCGATCAGAGAAGACTCGTCCTGCGTGGTCTGTCTGGAGTGGCGTCCAGGTACCTGCCTAACTGCCCCAGTAACTTAGGTCACTGTCGTGTGGAGGCGTCAGCCACCCAGAAAGCAGCTCGTGAGGGCAGCTGTGTGAAAGCGGGCCCCCCCCCCCTTGGCGGGCTGGGCACAGCAAGAGGAGATCAGGCAGAGACGTGGTGACTTGAGAACGAGCTCAGCAGCGGACACTCCTGCCCAGGACACCGAAGCTGTGTCAGGACCCCAAGGCCAGCACAGGGCCCCACTCGGGGCGGGAGTCAGCGAGCTCACACGGCCACGGCCACGGCCACGGGGTGTAAGGACAGGTGGGTGGGGCCAGGCCGCAGTTTCAAAGACCCTGGCGGAACCGTGCTGTAGGCTCGTCAATTAGTGCCACACGCTGGTGCCCGCGACACCCAGGACGCCGGGTGCCTTTTACCCGTGGCTTGTGTGGCCACACCCACCCGGGACGCTGGCGCCTCTCACCCGTGGCCAGCCTTGCGGTGCCGGCTGATCTCCTTCTCCCCCTCGATGATCCACTGCATGATCTTTTGGTTCTTCTCCGCGTCTTCTGAGGGGCCAGGCACCTCGGCTCCCGCGCCCTTCCCTGACTCCGCCTTCTTGGCGTTTCTTCTGGAGGCAGTGCCAGACTTCCCGCTACAAAAGCAAGGGGCCGGGAGTCACCCGCTGCCTTTACTTTGTGGCCTGTTGCCGGAAAGCGGCTACCTGAACGTGGTGGCTTTGACAGAGCTGTGTGTCCTCGCGGGCTCCGCCCCAATGCCAGGGGGTTCTCTGAAGTTAGTCTGGTGGGGAGCACAAGGCGTCCAGGCAGCACCAGCTGGGAGGGCAGGGGCACCTGTCCTTCGCCCTCCCAGCCCAGCCACTCACCTGGGGGCAGCAGCACCGGGACCCGGTCACCCCTCACCCAGACGCCTCCCCCGAAACAGGTACCTCTCTATCCATGCACCCTTCAAGGCCAGAGCCCTGGATGGCCCGGGACCCCAGGCAGGACCAGGCACTCACGCTGGGCGCTGGGGCCCTCTGGCGACCACATGCCCATGGTCTGTGCGGGCAACCCCGGCTGGACGACTTTTAAAGGGGAACTGTGGCCCAGAAAACTGAACAGAACCCTCAGGAGACACAGCCTCTCACTGTGACCCCTTCCTCCCCGGGAAGGCGCACGTGGCCCTTACTGATACAGGTTCAGGGATGAAGAAACCACAGCCCCGATCCCAAAGCAAGGCCCAGGCTGCCACAGACACTCACCTGTAGGCCAGGCTGTCGCTCGCATTGGGGGCGGTGCCCACGCTCTCTGAGTGGCTACGGGGCTTGGCTGTGTGGCCGTGCAGCTCCGGGCCCCAAGAGAAGCTGCCCGGGATGCGGCGGGAGGCCTCAGCCTCAGCCTGCTCCTTGGGCCTGGCCGCCCCGTGGTGACTGTGGTGGTGGCCGTGCCTGTGCAGGTGTGGGCCGGCTGCGTCCAGCTTCACCCCGGACTTAGGTGCGTGCTTACTGTGCCCAGGGGGCACGCCCCCTAGGACCCCCACAATCTTGGGCACGTGCCCGCTGTCAGGGGAACGGTGGCCGGGCCCCGGCGACTGACAGCCCGGCGTCCTCATGACCCGCTGCACATGCTCATCCAGGATGCTCTCAGGGTTCTCCTCGTGCGCGTCCCGCAGACCCACGCAGCCCACGTCTGCATAGCGGGGTGGGAAGTGGTGCCAGGCTGTGGCCAAAGGCAGCTTATGAGTGGCCCCCGGGGGACCAGAGGGCATGTCACCATCCTCACCTTCTTCCTCCTGCAGGACAAGGTCACGAGTCACCTCCTGGCACCGGCCGAGTCACAGAAACCTCGCCCTCGCGGAAACAAAGAAATAGGCCCGCAATGCTCCATCTCGGGGGCCAGAAGCACCGAGCCCAGGATGAGCAGGCCAGGTGAGGCACTGGGCGCTGGGGAGCGTGAGAGAGTGAGCACGCCCACCACGCACCAGGAACTCGAGGACCACAACGCCCACCCAATCCCGCCCACTGAGAAACCTCCAGAGGGACTTAGTTCTTTTACGCTTCTCAATAAAGATATTTTTATTTCTTCAGTTGATTTTCCTAGTCCTCAATTTTATTTCCATGTTTTCCATTATATTTTCTTTTGTTTGCTTTTAAATTTTATTTATTTGGGGGGGGGAGGGGCAGGGAGAGAGGGAGAGACACAGAATCCTAAGCAGGCTCCACTCTGTCAGCACAGAGCCTGATGTGGGGCCCAAGGGAGATCATGACCTGAGTCGAGATCAAGAGTCAGACGCTTAACCGACTGTGCAACCTGATCGTCCCTTTCCCATTACATTTTCAAAGGGAATACGCCCTTGTACAGAAGAGCTCGTTTTCTGCTTAATTGCTCTGCTCTGTGATTCTGGGTCAACTGTCACACTAAATCCAGTTGGGTTTCTCTGGAGTCTCTGGCAGCCAACAGGACCCTATCTGTAAATATATCATCTGCCCAGCCAAATCTTGTATTTATTTTCTCATCTCACTGAATTGTGGAAACCAGAATAATGGTGGGTACATCCGGTAGTGACCAGAAAGGGTGGGGCAGCTACCTCTGTACCAGAAACAAATCTCACAAAATCCACAAGAAACTTTTCACTTATGGGAAAGCGTCTCCACGTCACCAGGACAGGCGGTCAGCTGCAGACACTTCAGTCCACGCTCAGGTCGCAGGTGGCACGGAGCAGGACAGAGGGCAGGCGCATAGCTGCGGGGAGGGTGAACACGCCCCTCTCGGGCACACCGGGGCCCTGGGCTCCCCACCCCCCGTCCCATGCCGGACCCCCCACTCTGCCCTCGACGGACACTGACCCCTACGGGTAAGGAAGAGGGGCTCTTGCAGTCCCCGGGGGGCGGCACGGGGTGGTGACGGACAGCTTGGGCTGAGAGCCAGCTTGTCTCGGTGGCTCTGCACATGGAGGAAATCGGTTTTACGGTTTTGAAATGTTACAGGTTCACCAAACTGTCTAGCTAAGAATTTTCACTTTCTTCTTTGTTCTTATTTTCCGAATTTTACAACAAAACTCTTATTTAAAAATTTGTAGTTATTCTTCTTTTAAAAAAGACTATAGTTTATGGCATATTTATATGAGCCTTATTTTGTAAAATCATACAAGACAGGGACTCTCACGTCCATGCGGATTCCCTGTACATACGTAATTAAAATTGACTTTCTCCTGTTTTGTTTTTAAACACTCAGGGCATCCGATGGAACCGCACAGCCAGCTGTGGGGCAGTGAGCCCCCCAGGGTCCGAGGGAAGCCTATGGGGACAGAGTGGCTACAGGCCAGAGACTGTGACACAGAGCCCGGCGATCCTGTCCAGACGCCACCGCGGGCCTGCCGATTCGTTCCTGAATCGATACCCAGGAAATACAAGGGGCTACTCGTTTGAACATCTTGTGTTAAGTCACAGGCACTGGGGAACCTCTGTGGCCGGGCCCAGCCCCCTGTGACAGCTCCTGGGAGATCCAGGCACAACCGCACACCCCCGACAGGGAGGCCGCAGACAACAGGAGACTAAGACTCAGACATGAGAAAAATACACCGAATACCGATGGCTGTTAAAATGCCCATCCCGCACAGTGACCTGCAGGGCCACGGGCACACGGAGCCACGAGGACAAACTTGACACAATTACCACAGCTGGGTTCTACGGCAAGAAGGTTTGAAAGTCTCCTGCCTTAAACTTCTTTCACAAACCACAGGGTACTTTTACTTCGTGAGCGTACTCAGGAGGCACTGACGGAGGCGTGCTTGGGCCACGGACGCGCCACGGTGCCAGCCCCACGACGGCACGCAAAGCAGGGCTTGGCTCCTGTAAAACCCGCCGTGCCTCACGGCAACTCTGTGTCCGACACTGATTTCTCAAAGAAGGTTACCTGACAGGCCACGCCCTGACAGTCCCTTCACTCACGGAGGCCTCTGCTGGACCCTGACGGGGAAGGTGGCCTCCGTGGATGCCCACTGAACGTCCGCCCCCCCCCCTCGCTGCAACCCAGACTGGCAAACAGGCAGCGGGTCAGCACACGCCTGGCGCCCAGGCCAGCACTGCGCTGCCTACATGGGAGTCACCGGGTCACTACGAGGGAGGGAGACAAGAAGATGCCGGTAAGAAAAACCTAGTGTCCCTGCCCAGGTGCTTAAAAATACTTTCATAGGGGCGCCTGGGTGGCTCAGTCAGTTGAGTGGCCGACTTCGGCTCAGGTCATGATCTCTCGGTCCGTGAGTTCAAGCCCCATGCCGGGCTCTGTGCTGACAGCTCGGAGCCTAGAGCCTGCTTCTGTTTCTGTGTCTCCCTCTCTCTCTGCCCCTCCCCCATTCACACTCTGTCTCTCTCTGCCTTTCAAAAATGAATAAATGTTAAAAAAAAAAAAAAACCAAAAACTTTCATGCGGGCTCCCTCTCGGAGAGCATGCCATCTGGCCATTCACCTCGGTGACCACCCCAGCCTTCCTGGTGCCCACCGCGAACCCCAGGTTTTGAAACGCTATTCGAAATCTGAAAAATGTGGGGGGTGGGGTGGCCCCTCATTTCAAACCTGGGTGTCCTATGAGGGGGCTCCGGAACCCTGGACGGCAAGGGCACAGCACCGTGTGGGATGCATGGAGGGCAGGACAGGAAACCGCCAGGTGTGACTGTGGCTGGGCCCCATGACTACCCTTACGATGGCATCTCCAGACTTCAGGTGCACATGACTCACCGGGGAAACACAGAAGGTGAGACAGCAGGCCCCTCCTGGGGGTTCGGACAGAGTCTGAGCAGGGCTCAGGTCCGTGTTGTAAATGAGTATCGGGTGATCAGGTAGAGAAACAATTCCTTCCAGAACAATCCTGTTTTGGGTGTGTTTTTCTTTGTGTTGTGTTTTGAGGGAGAGAAAGAGAGGAAGAAAGAGAGAGAGCGAGCCTGCAAGAGGGGCAGAGAGAGAGGGGAAGACAGAATCCCACCAGGCTCCACGCTCAGCACAGAGTCCTATGTGGGGCTCAATCCCATGACCCTAGGATCACGACCTGAGCCAAAATCAAGAGTCGGATGCTCTACCAAGCGATGCGCCAGGCACCCCCACAGCAGTCATGGTTTGGGTTTCAGGCATCGGGCATGAGGTATTGAGGGAAAAAGTGCAAGACGCCACTTGTTGGTGACTGTTTTTCCTTTTTCTTTTTTTTAAAGCAGACTCCACACCCAATGTGGGGTTTGAACTCACAACCCTGAGAGGAAGAGTCGTACGCGCCACCGACCGAGCCGGCCGGGTGCTGCCAGTGGTGACCTTTCTTAGTTTCAGAAGGGGATTCCTACCTGCTGGAGAAAAGCAAAGGCCTGTCTCCAGCGACACAGTGGCGCCTGGCTCCGGGAGCACGGGGCACTGGGGCCTCGGGGACACACAACCTGGTGAGGCATGAAGAGCACGGGGAAGGCCGTGCTCAAGGGACATGTCTGTCATCGACATCTCAGGACGGAAACCCGAGCACACGTGGGAATGAGTCTTGCAGGATGACGCCCACAGGCCACATAAGCCGCATGTCTCTTTGACAGCTACAGGTCGAGAAGTATCAGAGCAGGTAAGTCACAAACCACACGTAATTGTCCCAGCACTCCACGTCCTGCCCGGCAAGGCCATGGGTCAGAAAACAAGGCACAGGAGCCTATTTCTGAACGTGACCCTTTCTGCACTCGGGATGACCGGTGGGAGCCCCCAGGCCCCGTGCCAAGGGCACACTCTGCTCCACACGTGTGCCCGGCGCCCCTGGGACCTGGCGGGGCCACGGGGGCACGTGGGACACGGGAGGGAGCAGGAAGGGGGTTGGGCTGAAAGGAGAGGTCAGTATGCACGGGGTACGCGTTGAGTCGTCTGCCAAAACTGCCTTCCTGAGCCGAGCCGATGTAGCTCCGGTGTGGGGATGACAGCAGGGCGTGGTCTCTGCCCGCCTCTCCACCCCTCCCCAGAAGCAGGTGGCACAGGAACCCCAGCTCCCCGCAGGCCAAGGAGCGGCTGCTGAGTGCCTTACTGGTTGCTCCCAGACCGGGCTCGGGGTCCCCGCCAGGGGGACCTCCTCCCCAGGAGACGGTGAAGACCGCACAGGAGCGGTGGCGGCTTCAGACGGGCCCCCGTCACAGCAGAGCGGCCAGCCACCAGGGCAGGGTCAGAGGGCGTCGGGAGCCAGCACTCTGGGAGACCCAGGAGGGAGCTCGTGGGAGCCTGAAGCTGCCCTCAACTCCACCAAAACGCAGTAAGATCATCCAGAACCCGAGCCGCACCGTGGCCTCTCCCAGAAGGCTCACTCACCATCCGGACGCGTTTCAGCCGCTCCTCCAGCTTCTCCTCAGCCTCCCGTGTCCGCTGGATGGCCTCCAGGCGGTGGATGAGCTCCGCGGCGAACTTCTGGGGCTCCACGCGGACTTCCTTTGGCATTCGGTAAGTGCGCTGCAAGGAGACACTGATTAGCCAGCCACGTGCAGCCTTGAACTGCCAGCCCCGTCAAGATGGCACACGGGCACTCTCCGGGTGACCAGGAGGAGCCCCGAAACGTGCGTTTTGTTTCGTTTTTTTAACTTGTTTTATTTTTTATTTTTTTTAATTTACATCCAAATTAGTCAGCATGTAGTGCAACAGTGATTTCAGGAGTAGATTCCTTAATGCCCCTCCCCCATTTAGCCCATCCCCCCTCCCACACCCCCTCCAGCAACCCTCTGTTTGTTCTCCATATTGATGAGTCTCTTCTCTTTTGTCCCCCTCCCTGTTTCTATATTATTTGTGTTTCCCTTCCCTAATGTTCATCTGTTTTGTCCCTTAAAGTCCTCATAGGAGTGAAGTCATGATTTTTGTCTTTCTCTAATTTCACTGAGCATAACACCCTCCAGTTCCATCCACATAGTTGCAAATGGCAAGATTTCATTTTTTTTGATTGCCAAGTAATACTCCATTGTATAAATATACATCTTTTTTTTTATTTGTTTTTATTTATTTTTGAGACAGAGAGACAGAGCACGAGCAGGGGAGGGGCAGAGAAAGAGGGAGACACAGAACCTGAAGCAGGCTCCAGGCTCCGAGCTGGCAGCACAGAGCCCGACGCGGGGCTCGAACTCACAGACCGTGAGATCGTGACCTGAGCTGAAGTTGGTTGCTCAACCGACTGAGCTACCCAGGCGCCCCATATATCGCATCTTCTTTATCCATTCCTCCGGCAACGGACATTTGGACTCTTTCCATACTTTGGCTGTTGTCGATAATGCTGCTATAAACATGGGGGTGCATGTGTCCCTTTGAAACAGCACACCTGTATCCCTTGGATAAATGCCTAGTAGTGCAGTTGCTGGGTCGAAGGGTAGTTCTGTTTTTAGTTTTTTGAGGAAACTCCATACTGTTTTCCAGAGTGGCTACACCACTTTGTATTCCCAGAAACCTGCGTTTTCTCTTAAAACGAGTGTTCACACTTGCCCCTTCTGCTGGGTTCCTCACTGCCCCCTTTTCTTGTCTAAGGTCTCCTTTACCCAGCACTGAGCCGGGAGGGACAACAGAGCCCTGGTGACCATCACATTAGGTCTGTGTTAGGTCACTACATGTTTTAAAAGTCTAACATTACTGTTACCTAATCAGGCCTTATTTTAATTTGATCAGCTGTCCTAACAATATCTTTCAGCGCAAACGTGTTTTAAAAGTCTAAGCCACTTGGGCGCCTAGGTGGCTCAGTCAGTTAAGCATCCAAACCCTGATTTCAGCTCAGGTTCCAATCTCATGGTTCCTGAGTTCAAGCATCACACTGGGCTCTGTGCTGACAGCGGAGAGCCCAGCTTCGAGCCCTCTGTCCCCCTTTCTCTCTGCCACTCTCCAGCCTGCACTCTCTCTCTCAAAAATTAAAAAAATATACATATTTTTTAAAATCTATGCCACCACCCCCCTGTTGAGGGGGATGGGGTCACCGGGGAGCTGCCAAGAGGAGGGGAGAGAGCGCAGGCGGCTCGGACAGGGCAGGAGGGCAGACGGAGGAGGGAGTAGCCCGAGACAGGGTGACACACAGGAGTCCTCTCTGATCTCCTGGATGGATAGTGGCGATCTAGAACCCTGGACTTCAGATGTACAGCAAGCTGAGCAGGGAGGACTCCGTGTGGGGCAGGAGCCTGAGCGGGGGCAGTGCCCCTGGGCACAGTTTTGACTCTATGTTTCTCATCTACAAAACGACAGAACCTCAGAAACAGGTAAGCTTAGGTGAGAAAATCATGGGAAGGGCTCGGGGACAAATGCCCACGTGTGGGGCTATCACTGGCCTCGATGAGCTCAGGGGCAGCTGCAGAAAGCTCGGAAGGGTCCGGAGAGGGAAGCAGGGGAGGGCGAGCCCAGGACACAAGCAAACACTTCAACAGAGAGAGCTGGTGCGAAAGGTCCGGGGGTGCCCAGTGTTCTCAGAAGAGCCTGGGCAGTAGGGACAGCCATGAGGCCGAGACCCGGAAGGGAGTCTTTGCGGACAGCATATCCCAGTGGAGAAGAAAGGCCCGAGGCCAGCAGGCTGGCTTCTCCGGGGACTGAACTGAGCAGAGGGCAGTGACCTGCATGGGACTGAGAGAGCAAGGCCAGACGTCCAGGTGGCAAGCGCTGAGCAGTGCTGACCGTGAGACGGCACACGCAGAGGAAGGGCAGAGTGAGAAGTCCCCACGAGACGGAAACGCACCCACGTGGAGTGAGGACGCGTGCGAGGCTCGGCCCTGCGGCGGACGCCTGCCCCCAAGCTCAGGTGTTCTGGAAAAGAGCCTCTAGGCTGCACGGCTGTGCTTCTGAAAATGGGAAACTGTCAGAAATGACAATAATTACCAGCTCTGTGGAAAAACGGGTAACCTTCCGGCTGTGGAGGAACAAAAGAAGTCACAAAGGAAAAAGTCCCAGTAATTACAACTGTGGACCTTCTGGGGAGTTCAGATGGCTCCTCCCTCGGGCATTAAGGAGTAGACCTTTCATGACTGGAAAGTCAGCGGGGTCCCCCACGTGGTGGTGCCTCTGTGCCCCTGCGCCGACACCCACACACAGCCCCTCGTCCTGGGCCTGATCCCCTGGAAGTCACGCAGCAAGGACCACCAGGCACAGCCCACCCGCCTACCTCGGGGCAGCACAGCGTCTGCCTCTCGCCCGCGCTCCCCAGACCTGCCTCCCCTGAGACCCACGACAAAGCAGACACGCACAGGTTCCTGGGGCAGGCGGGTGCCACCAGCCACAGAAGAGACACCCCAATCACAGGACTCCACGACCTCGGCCAAGATGGGAAACATTTTCTTCTGGTTTGTTAGATACAAAATGTTGCCCTTAAAAATAAAAGTCAGTTATTCTACCAGCAAAAATGGTTTTATTTAGGAGTAACAAAGAACTGCCACTGGGGACAAGCACCGTATGGCAAAAGTGAAGGACTCCTCCCACCAACAAAGGCAAAGACGTCACCTTACGGAGAAGGGGAGTTGGGAGGGCTGCTGTGAACGGAAGCCCCCTGGAGAGAAGCAAGCGTCTGGGGTGAAAAGGCTTCTCCTTGGCTGAGCCGCAGGGGTGGGACGCAGCGTGGAGGGGACCCAGCGCGTCCTTCCCTGTAACGGACGCTCCTGCTGGGTTGGCACGAGAGCTCCCCCCACTGGCTTCCTGACTCCCCTTCGGTGAGGTTTCTCCTGCTTCATTTCCACGCCGGACAGAACGGATGCAGCACGCCCTCTCTTCGCTCTTAACTCCGAGCCACGTGCTGGCCTGTCTGACCTGACCACACAGCCAGGCTGGGCTCCAGGCTGTGCCCAGTGCTGACGGCAGACGCCAGCTCACCCAGGCAGCGCTTCTGCTGAGACCCCCCCCCCCCCCGCCGCGCCCCCCCGCCTCAACGGGCTACCCAAGCACACCCCCGCCAGGCCCCTCTGCTGAGCTATCAGACAGATGCAGAGGGGCCCCTGGAGAGACCACGAAGCTCCCCACGCCGCCGAGAAGCACGCGGGCGACATCTTCTAACGCTGGTCCCCGGAAAACGAAGCCCAGGCGCGTGAGGAGGCCAGTGACCTCTGCCCCCCCCTCACCGCCCCCGGCATCTGCACCAACCGCCTGGCCGTGCCCAGTCCATCCCAGCCACGACCTGTTCCCCTGAACGTGTGAACAGCTCAAGGAGCAGGGCTCATTAAGCCTCCCCTGGAAGGTAACCAGCACTCAGAAGTCACCAGGACGCACAGGACTCCTGCTTTCACAGAATGGTTGCACAGGGTCAGGCCCGAGGGTCGGCGTGGTGCCCAAGAACGCTCTTAGCCCTGCCGGGGGGCTGGGCGGCCGAGGCTGGAAGCCTGTGGGCCACAGCACTGTCCACACCGCACGGTAAAGCCAGGCTCTCGCTGCCATGCCTGCCTCTCTCAGCTCTGCCTTCACGCTGACTTGGCCAGGACCTTCCAGAGACTGAAGATGCCTTGCTTTCCTCGATTCTGGAACATTCTGACACTTCTCTTGTCTCTTCCTGATTCTCTGTGCCGCATTCTGAGACATCTTTCCAGGTCTATATTCCAGCTCACCAACTTTCTCTTTTGGTTTTCTTGAATATGCCGTTTAATTGTTCGAATCAGATCCTATCGCCAGAATTGGTTGGTAGGCGTCCCACAGAGGAGGGCTCCCTGACATGAGCATCCCTGGACCCGGAGGCCCCACAGGCCCTGCACGGCCACGGCGCTCAGCCGGACCGTTTCTCTGCACTCCCTCAGTCTGGAATGAGGCTGTCTCCTCTGGACTTTTGTGACCCTGTGACTTTTGAAAATTTGAAGCCAGTTCTTGGGCAGGGTGGCCCTCAACGTGGGCTGTGTCCTGCTGATTTCTCCGGCAAGAGGCCCCGGGCCTCTCATGGTCCTCGAGGGGGCAGCATCCATGGGTCCCCTCACGGCCGAAGATGGCACCCCTGCCCTGAAGTCACTTTTTCCCATGGGAGCGACAGCTTCACCTGGGCCGGTGCAGGTGTCCTGCTGCTCATCACACTCCCGGTGTGTTCAGTCCGTCAGCGGAGACGTGCACGTTCCCGCCTCACCGCCACTGACCCTCACGCTTTGGTGGCCTGGTGGGAGGGAGCACCTCCACGTGGCTCCTGTGTCCACTCATCCCCTTCCTTTCTGGGACACAGGGTACCCAGGCACCCCTACTGCTCCCCCTGCCCAGGCCCAGTCCTGAGTTTACACATCCATGAAGAGAGGAACCTGGGGGGTCAGTCGGTTAAGCGTCTGACTCGGTATTGACTCAGGTCACCATCTGAGACCGAGCCCTGCATCAGGCTCCGTGCTGACAGTGCGGAGCCTACTTGGGATTCTCTGTCTCCCTCTCTCCCTGCCCCTCCCCCACTCCCTGCCCCCTCTCTGAAAATAAATAAATAACCCTTAAAAAAACCACAAAACACAAAAAACAAAAAAGATCTCTGAAGAGAGCAAGGAGACACACGCACCAGCCTACAGCGAGGTGAAGACGTGTGCAGGCCCCGGCTGTGCTCCGACAGCACGAGTTGGCTGGTGCTCCCTATGGGGGAGCCCTGAGGGGCCCCAGCAGCGTGCACGCACACGCAGGCACACACACGCACACAGACCACCAGCAGCAGCATCCACTCCTCCCGAGCACACGCTGTCGGTGCCTGGCTTAGGTCAAGTGTGTGCTGGGAGGTGACAAGATGCTTGACCAGGTTTTTCTGTTTTTTCCTTTTTTTAAACATTTATTTAATGGGGCGCCTGGGTGGCGCAGTCGGTTAAGCGTCCGACTTCAGCCAGGTCACGATCTCGCGGTCCGGGAGTTCGAGCCCCGCGTCGGGCTCTGGGCTGATGGCTCGGAGCCTGGAGCCTGTTTCCGATTCTGTGTCTCCCTCTCTCTCTGCCCCTCCCCTGTTCATGCTCTGTCTCTCTCTGTCCCAAAAATAAAATAAACGTTAAAAAAAAAAAATTTTTAAACATTTATTTATTTATTTAGAGAGCACACAAGCAGGGAGAGGCACAGAGAGAGAGAAAGAGAGAGAGAGAGAGAGAGAGAGAGAGAGAGAGAGGAAGAGAATCACAGGCAGGCTCCGTGCTGTCAGCACAGAGCCCGACACGGGGCCCGACTCCGCCAGCAGTGAGGTCATGACCTGAGCCGAACCTGAGGTCATGACACTGAACCGACCGAGTCCCCTGGGTGCCCCTAACACTGACCACCCATCCTCTTCTCAGAAGCAAGAACATACCCACAACCTTTCTGCTCAACCATAAAAATCACCTTTCTTACCTGGAAATTAGCTAAAAGACTCTAAGCAAAGAACTGGCCACGGATGAGTGTGCGGTGACCCCGAGAGACGTCCCCTTCACCTGCACAGGAACCGCGGACAGCTGCTCACAGCACCAACGGTTTGAGACTCCTGCAAGCCCTCCTTCTCTTCCCTGAGAAGTCTTTCCCGTTCAGTTGGCACGCCAAGATAAAGAGGTCTCTGCAGGTGGGGGCGGGCTGCCTGCCTGCTCTGCGAAGCCCCCCCTCCGGCGCCCACAGTCGGGGGGACTACTGTCACCTCACTATTTCCTCCCAGGAGGCGAAGCTGAGGCACCTCCCACAGCAAGTGCTCACAGTAACTTGGGATCAGAGGCGCTGAGCATTGCCGCCGTCAGGCTTCCGCACGGAGCCACAGTGAGGTGGCCCGTGCAGGGGCCGGGCCCGGTATCAAGCCAGGGACAGGGGCTCAGAGCTGCTCTCCCACATCGAGGAGCAGCACGTCACTTAGCAGGACAGGAAGACTGCACAGCAGGTGCTACGTGAGGCCCTCCCTGCCCCTGTGAAGGGAACGTGTGGGCCTACAAGTCGCCCACGCTGTCCTTGCCAGCCTGTGGGGCGTGACCTCGTGTTGACCACACGCTATGCCTGGACATGAGCTGAGCCCGCAGGAAGCAATGCCCTTCCCGCTGCCCAGTGCCACAGTGGCCGGGGGTGGAGGGAGAAAGGGTGGGCATGGTCCCAGAGGGCCCAGGAGACAGGGCGCAGGGCTGCGCGGCCAGAACTTACAGGGATGTGAGGTAGGGGCACCCGCCCGTTGACCTGGACGCTCTCTTGCATCTCCCGGCGGTGCTGCTTACGGGTCCTGTATGGCGGGACTCCATCCCTGTCCGGAGGAGAGAGAGCCCGGCGTGAGTGCAAGACAAACAGCTCAGGGAAGTGCAGCTGGCGAGGCCTGCTCTCTACAGCCGGAGAGCTAACAAGGGTTTCTCCGTTTTCTAAAGCAGTGGACAAGGGGCACCTCGGTGGCTCAGTAGGATGAGCGTCATTTCATTTTATTCTTCATTTCAGCTCAAGTCGTGATCCCGGAGTCATGGGATCGAGCCCCTGTCGGGTCCCACACTGAGCATAGAGCCTGCTTAAGATTCTTGCTCTCTCCCTCTGCCCCTCCCCCACTTGTGTTCTCTCTCAAAACTTGAAGGGGAAGGGGCGCCTAGGTGGCTCCGTCGGTTAAGCGTCTGACTTCGGCCCAGGTCACAATCTTGCGGTTTGTGAGTTTGAGCCCCGCGTCGGGTTCTGTGCTGACAGCTCAGAGCCTGGAGCCTGCTTCTGACTCTGTGTCTCCCTCTCTCTCTGCCCCTCCCCTGCTTATGCTCTGTCTCTCTGTCTCAAAAATAAATAAAAACATTAAAAAAAATAAAACTGGGGGGGAAGAAAAGCAGGAAAGGAGTATGTGACAGAGACCGTATGTGGCCACAAAGCCTGAAACATTCACTGACGTGTCACTGAACGCCCAGGTGCCTGTCTGGCAGGGGTGCTGTAAACAGACCAAAACACGGACAGCCAAGACAATTTAGATCCCACTGGAACAGATCTCCCAGGTTCTATGTTACCTGCTGTCTTCCAAGGTAGACTGGAAAGGCAGCGTTCTCTCTCTGAGGGTACGCAAATTAGCTTCCTTGACGTAAGTTTTAGTTATAAGCCCTCTTGAAGATTGTAATAAACGTATGGATCAAATCACGTGTTGTCTGTACATGACTGAATGTACCTACTCAAGACACATGCCAGCTCTAACACCTCACCCGCTCTCCAGTCCTCTCCGCACTTCAAATCTACGCTAAGAAGCACAGTGGCCAACAGGAGCCACTGCGACGTGACGACGCCCGCCAGAGCAGGATGCCTAGAGAGGGTGGCTCCTCTGGGTCCCCACCTCCTCCTCACTGAAGAACTCCTGAGCGGGTCCCCGGCTCTGACAGCTGGAAGGGAGGGGTCTGTAAACCATCTGGCTGTTGAAAGGCCTCGGCCTCCCTGGCCTCCAGTGGGTGAAGATCTGCGTCCCCTGGCCTCCTTCCCAAGCACGGCCCAGGGAAGGGGGTGTGGGGGGACGGGGCTGGGGCGCTCTCAGAGCAGTGCTCCTACTTGCCAGCAGGATCCACACGTGCACACAATTCTGATCTCATTTCTTAACTGCTGGGCCCCCAGCTCGGCGGCTTTGCTTACAGGCAGGGATGCAACATTCTCCTCTTAAAATCATATTCCTGAGAGCCCTGGTCTGGGTGGAAAGGGTAGACTTTGGCCGAATGAGGCCGAATGAGGCTGGGACAGCCCATCTCTCCTGTCACTGCCTCGGTGTCCCGGCTATCAGGGCACCAGCTGGGTGTGCAGTGTGACTGGCTCAGCACTCTAGCAGGGGCACCTCAGGGGACAGCTGTCAAGCAGCAGGCAAGTCAAATGCATTAAAAGATGTCGTCATCTGCCCGGAGGGTTTTGCCCAGGTGTGCCGAGCCACCAACTTGTTTCTCATACGCTTTGACCAGGCACTGGTTAAAGGTCCCACATGCCTCCGGATGAGGCACTGTCCTTGGACGCCCACGTCCAAAGTCTAGAGTGAGCCATGCCACCGTTTTTACTGTGTGGTTGACGTGCCGAGGGCAGCTGTGCCCAGGAGAAATAATGTAGAAGAAACGCACCATGCTACTTTTTGCCTCTGACGTATATTCAAATACATTCTAAATTTATTCCTACGTTTTTTTGAAAAAATTTTTTAAAAAGCATATATTTATTTATTATTATTATTATTATTATTATTATTATTATTTTTTTTTACTTGACAGAAAGAGGGAGAGCACACACACACAGGGGAGGGAGCAGAAGGAAAGACGGGGCAAATGTTTTTAATGTTTATTTTTTGAGATGGAGACAGGGAGACAGGGAGAGAGGGAGTGCACACAAGGAGGGGAGGGGCAGGGAGACAGGGGGCCACAGGATCCCTGTGCTGACAGCACAGAGCCCAACACGGGCTTCAAACTCACGAACCATGAGATCATGACCTGAGCCAATGTCGGACGCTTAACCAATAGCCACCCAGGCGCCCCTACTATTCCTATGTTTCTCAGTCTTAGAGTAAGCCAACATGAACAGAATCTCAGGAAAAAAATACTTTAAAAACTTTAGATCTTCCCTTTAGCAAACATATGTCCTTTTCTTAAAGTGAATTAACAGACTTTATGAGAAAAATGTGCTGGCAGATGAATCTTCATTGTAGTAACCAATTTCTGGGAGGAGAAAACCGAACAGCACGAGGGCACGATCCCGAGCTGTCAGCTGCGAGTGGGGGTCACAGTGGGCACTGCTAAAAGCACAGTCATTTCAAGTAAGAAACTGCTAAAAACACGTCAACATTTTATCTTAAAGATGTGATGCAAAGGGGGTGGCTGAGGGCTGAGGGGCTCAGTCGGTTGAGCCTACTTGGGAAATCTCTTTTTCCCTCTCTCTGCCCCTCCCCTGCTTGCTCTCTCTCTCTCTCTAAAAATAAACTAAAAAAAGGGGGGGGGGCACCTGGGTGGTTCAGTCGGTTGGGCATCCGACTTTGGCTCAGGTCACGATCTTGTGATTTGTGAGTTCGAGCCCCGCGTCAGGCTCTGTGCTGACAGTTCAGAGCCTGGAGCCTGCTTCAGATTCTGTGTCTCCCCCTCTCTCTGCCCCTCCCATGCTCTTTTCTGTCTCTCTCTGTCTCTCTATAATAAATAAACGTTAAAAAAAAAAAAAAAAGATGTGACACAAAGAAGGATGAAATAGTCAATATACACACACAAGTTGAACCCAAAGGGACAGACCCGTCTCGTGACGTCACCACCATGTGGCCACCGAAGAGGAAAAGAGAAAGGGGCCCCGGATGCGTGGCGACACAGGGTA